ATTCGAGTCCTTTCAAACCCTGAATGAATTAATAATAATTAATTCCCTAAAATTAAGTAATCAAGACATTACAGCAGCTTCCACTCCTAATGGAGATGCAGATGATTAATTACTAAGCTCAAATGAGTTAATGTGTGTTTCTTATAGCAGTTAAAATGTAGTCATTTTCTTTATTATTTATATTCATTTTTAATTAAGTGATTTTAACTTTTAATTAAGTTATTTTAATGCTTTAAAGAGCAATTTTAGATTGTAGTGTTCTAATGTTCTGCTATCTGTTCTGCAAACTATAAAAGGTACAGCTGTAATAAAACCAGAGAGAAAGGCTGCATGGCTAGAAATGAACAAAAAAAAAAGTCAAATAATTAGCCTGCTTTAGACCAGGTTAGTTTCCCAGCATAAGTTGCCACCGTAACTAAGCTTGATCTAGGCCTATGTTAAATTTGCTTGATGGCACCAAATCATTTGACAATGAGTCAAGCTAACTGAAATAAGCCTGGCTTATTTTGGTTAACTTGTTTTATGAAACAGGCCTTGAGGCATTAAAAGTGATATTTTCTCCATTGCATCATATTGCATCGAATTGCATTGTGTTGAATCGAATCGAATCGAAATCGGATCATAATAGGGATGAATCGTATCGCATCGCATCGGTAGCTGTTTCATATGTATCTTTAATGTATCGTATCATTGGCTATGCATCGAGATGCATATCGTATCGGCCTGAGTCATGAGATGCACATCCCTAGTAGCACATATGGGTTCAGACAGCAAGCCTCAAAGCCTGGGTGCAGAGTCAGACAGCAAGCAGCAAGTTTGTGGGGGTCACATTCTCCACTAAGGCCTAGTATGCATCTAACTCCCTGCAGCACTGACTTTCCTCAGCTGTGACCATGGACTCACATTTCCCACACACAATGAAACAAAAACGTGTTTATCTCTCTCCCTCTCCTGCGGTGATGAGAAACCGCTATATCACGTAACGTTAGTGTTGGGATATTAACGAGTGTAACACGCCTGATCAACGCTTATTAGTTTCTGTTACAGGTAAGTATCAATACTCATAGACGACCAATACTAGCTGTGCTATTGCCTGATTACATATCGTTAGCTAACGTGTGTATATCTGTAAGCTAACACTGGTCTCTCACCAAGACACCTGCCTTGTTCTCCTCAGACAACTCAATTTGTCTCCTCTGATCGTTGTTCTGTCTAATCCTGCCCTGTCCCTGCTCTCTTGGCCGCATAGCAGGTAGTGATGTTAGGCTCTTGAACGAATCGTTCTTTTGAGCCGGTTCTCAGGAAGTAACCGGTTGAGCCGGTTCACAAATCGAACTGAATCGAACTTTAGTTCCGGGTTGATGACGCAGGACGCACAGCCGAAGTAGCACGTCCAACTCAAAAAGAACCAAATGAGCCGGTTCAACCAACTGTCGAAGTTTGCCGAGGATTACCGAGGACTCAATAAGAACCGAATGAGCCGTGGCGAAGTTTGCAGAGGATTGCCGAAGATTCTGATGAGTGAGTTGACGATACTGTGCAAGCCTGAGGCGCGTACTGGAAATTTGCTTATTATGACTTATTAATTTACATTTTATTAAAACCTTAAAAAAACCTTTCTGTCGAGTGATGTAAATAAATTTTACAATAGTTTATTGTGCATGCATATAATATTTAAAGTTGATTAAGCGAAATCAAGGAGTTTATAAGACTGGTTTATTCATTCTTTATACTGTAGACATGTAGAACATATCCGCGTTTGTGCATCAATGTCTGTAATGTGTGCTGTAGGTG